AAGCAATTGCTCCATGTTGGAAGATGGTGTCTTAACAGGGAATGATGTTAGAAAAACAAACCCATCTTGTACAAGTAATTTTTAAAAATCAAACCATGTTTGGGATCAGCAGTTGGCATAATGGCTATGTTGCTGGGCTCCTATGTAGCCAACTGCGGTTCGAGTCCCAGACCCAGTGGCTTAAACTCATGCCAGGTGCATGTGCATGCATGCCCAAGATCCCAAGAAAAGACTGGAGGAGCATGGATTGTTGCATGGCCATCCACCCTGGGGATGACTTCTCATTTTCTGTCGCTCTTTTTGGCAAGTGCATGTACCCTATAACAAAAACCTCTCCAAAAAAAAAATCAAACCATGTTCATAAAGTTAAATAACCAAAATGTATTCTGAAAAATACTCTCTCTTGATATATGTTATGTTGTTCACTATCTTATTGTATAAAGAATATACACTGCTGAAAGTGCTCTGGAACTCAAGCCTATGAATTGGGAAAAAAACAGAATTGGAAAAAATGTTTTTGTTTTTTTTTTTTAATTAGAATTCAACTTTGAAATTCAAATAATAATTCAGGAGATTTAAAAATTATTACACAAGGGGTCAGCAGGTGGCATGAAGGTTATGGCACTGGATCTCATATGGCCAGCGTCATGGTTTGAGTCCCAGACCTCTGCAACTTGATAATCACACTAGGCGCGTGTGCATGTGTGCCCAAAATCCTGAGAGGAGAACAGACAAGAAGAGACGGCAGCGTGGCCATTCCCCATTAGATAGGTGATAAAAAAATTATTACATGAATGATAATGTTGATAAAGAAGAAAAGGTAACATATTAAGTATGGAGTTTAGCTGGTATATAAGTGGAGGTTCACTGTACGATTCTTCCAACTTTGCCATATAATTGAAATTTTTCATAATAAAATGTTGAAAAAACTATTACCATATCCTCCACTCAAGTGCTAATATCTAAAAAATTTATGGACTTTTACAGCTTAACATAACAGTAAAATGTCTTGAAATCTAAAGGAAGTACCACAAATTAACTGGGGAAAGATAGAAGACTCAATACACGATGTTGATATTTACTATATGAAAAAAATTTATCTTAAACTTTTCTTCACCCCTTTCAATTTGTGAGTTTAATAAAAAAAAATGAAATTTAAAAGTATTAGATCAGTATCTTCTAACTTCTGGGTAGGAAATTCCTAAGCCCAAGCTAACAAAAGTCACACAGAAAAAAAGTAGACAAAAAAGTCACTTATTCAATTGAAGAAAATCTAAAGGTTCTGTATCTAAACAAAATCTTAAGCAAAACTAGAAAATCAAAGAAGTTGGAAGTACTATCTGCCCCAAATATCTTACATATGCATGTATGCATGTGCACACACATGACCTTATGTTAGTAAGTCAGGCTTGGGAACCAGCAGTTAGCGTAATGGCTATGTCACTGGACTCCCACATAGTAGACCACGGTTCGCGTCCCGGACCCGATGGCTTAAAACTCACGCCGGGCGCATGTGCGTGCGTGCCCAAGATCCTGAGAGGAGAATGGAGGAGAAGGGATTGTGGCATGACCATCCCACCTGGGGGGTGATATCTGGCTTTCTGTCTCTATGTCTCTGTCTGTCTGTCTGGTGAGCGCATTGCGCCCTATAGTGAAAACCTCTCAAAAAAATAAAAATAAAAATAAAAAAATAAAAAAATAAGAAGTCAGGCTCCAAAAGAAAGGCTGATAATGGACATGATCAGAACATTTACAAAAGAAAGCAGCAGACTAATAAACACATTTAAAAAGTTCAACTTTACTGGTAGCAATTAAAAAGTGGCATATGCTTCATATGCTTGACACAGAGTGGGTATTTATTAAATAGCTGTTGAATAAATGAATTAAAAAATAATGTAACGTATTGGTCTGAAGATTTTAAAAGATAATGCTCAGTATTGATGAAGATATAATAATAACATTTTGTATGTGGCTAACCGTGTATAATTTGGTACAAGTGTTCTAGAAGACAGGTTAGCAGGGTTTCAAGTTCAGCTTCTTTGACTCAAGAAATTCACTGCTAAGAAATACATACTAAGTGAATAATTGAAAATATACCCATGGAGCCAACCCCATGGCACAGCAGTTAAGCCTTGTGCATAGGGAGCTGGACCCCACATGGCCAACGGTTGTTTGAATCCTGGCCCTGACAGCTTGAAAAACATGCTGGGCGCACATGTGTATGTATGCCCCAAATTATAACGGGGTGAAGAAATGGAGGAATAAGAATTCTGGCGTGACTATGCTCCACTGGGGAGTGTTTTATTTCACTCCGCATGCTCTCTAGCAATAAAATAAATAAATAAGTAAATAGATAACTATCTGTAATTTTTTTTTAAATGGAAGCAAATAAAACACTCCAAATTAGAGAATGTAATGTACCGTAAAAAATATTTTAAGGCATGTTTAAAAATGAAAAAAAATGCACTTAAAAAGTGCAACACAAAAATGCCTATACAGAATAATGCTAATTATGCAAATGTCTGTGTGTATGAGGGAAATACTGGAAAGAAATACACACAAACATTACGAGTTTTAGGGACAGAGATCATTTGATTTCTTCTTTATATGTAGAATCTAAAAGAAAAAGTTAAGTCCACAGAAAGAGAACAGTTGTTGGGGGGAATGGAGAGCTATAGATCAAAGGGCCCAAAGTCACGGTTACGAAGGATGAAGAAATCCTAGATCTAATGAGCAGTATGAAGACCAATACTGTAATTAGGTAATGATATTATACTGTAAACTCGAAATTTTCTGAGAATAGATTTTAGATGTATTTGCCTCCTTTTTTTTTTTTTTTTTTTGGTGAGGGTGAGGGCCAGAGGGTGTGTGTGCACACACCAGAAAGAGATGGGGAGGCAGAAAACACTCTCCAGTGAGGCGTGGTCACTATGCAATCCATCCTGCTGAGATTCTAGGCTCATATATACACGTGCCCAGTGTATTTTTCAAGCTGCCAGGGTTAGAATTTGAACCGTGATGTGAGTCAGGTAGGATCTGGCTTCCTTAACCACTAGTCCACAGGGCTGGCTCAATTTTGGATGCTCTTAATTGTGAGACAGGGGTATACTGACTGGCTTGACTGCAGTAATTCTCATATATATGAAATGCCATGTTGCAAATCTTAAATATATATGATAAATAAATATAAATTTTAAAGTCAGTTTTATCACAGAGTAGTTGAAAAATTTTCACATCCCATATTAATTTTTTTTTTTTTTGGGAGAGATTTTCACTGTAGGGCGCGTGCGCTCGCCAGACAGACAGAGAGAGACATAGAGACAGAAAGCGAGAAATCACCCCCCAGGGGGGTGGTCACGCCGCAATCCCTTCTCCTCCATTCTCCTCTCGGGATCTTGGGCACGC